CAGGGCCACCGCCGCCTGTTGCGCAAGCCTTTGCAGGGGCGCAGCGGGGAGGGGCTCCCGGTCCGCTGGGGGTCGGCTCCGCGACCGCCTCCTCGCCCGGCAGCGCAGGTCGTTGGAGTGTGCGTGGGAGGAGCTTGCGTGGACCGGGGATGCATCCGTGTGCTTGTGTGTGTGCATGTGGGGGCTCATACGTGTGCATGGGGACTTCCACGTGTCTCTCCGTCTCAGTTGCTTCTCCTAAGGGGACCACGGCGCCTCTCCCTGCCATCTCTTCTGGACGACTGTCCTGCTTCCTCCAGATCTCACGGTCTAGCCCGAGCCCCATTTATCTACCTTCCCACGTTGCCTCCTTTGCTTCCGCCTGGCTTTCCGATTTTCACTCCAGTCACTTCCATGTTGCCTCTGCTCTCCACGCCATCCAAACGCCTGGGCGCCTCCCCTTCACCTTCTGGGCTCTAAACGCACCGATCTTTTCCCGCCCTGGCGTTCTGCTCCCCTCCCCCATGGGCTGGGAAAGGAGAACTCTAACCCCTTCTTCTCCTGGTCCCTAGAACTTGCCGGAGGCACCCTTTCCAACCTTAGCGCTGCCATTCTCTGCTGCCTTGTTTTGTTTAACTATTGCCTACGTGTTCTTGTCTGACCAAAGAAAGCAGCTCTCAACCTGACTGCATATTAGAATTCCCTGCAACTTTACTAAAAAGATGGGTGCCAGGGCCCCTTCGCAGAACAATTAAGTCAAAATCTGAGCACTAGGTTTTTTTCTTTTTTTTTCTCGTGGGAGGGGGAATATACATAACAAAACCTACATCCATTCAACATTTTCTGCATGTACAGTTCAATGACATTGGTTACATTCTTCAGATCTTTTCCAGATCGCTACCTGTATTGTTTCACCACCATTAACTTAGACCCTCTGACCCCTAAACTCCTCTGTGTTGTCGATTTGTTCTCATATAGGTAATTCTTTAAAAGAGCACACTGCTCAAGGGGAGCAGTCTTTACTAGTTGAGCTAAACTTTGGTTTGGTTTAAAGATGACTTCATGGGATAGTTTCTGTTCAAGACTTAAAGATTATCTCAGGGCAATAGATTCAGGGGTTCCCCCGGTCCCAATGGGCCCAGTAAGTCTGGTTTCCATTAGAATTTGAAAATCTGTTCCACATTTTTCCTCTTTTTGATTAGGATCCATCTATTGGGGCTTCGATCGAAACGTCCGGTAATGGTAGCCAGGTACCATCCATTTCTTCTGGTCTCATGGCAGTAGAAGTAGTAGTTCATGGAGGCAATTAGACCTGCAGTTCATTTCCTTCTCCCTTTCCTGGGTCATCTTCTTCCTCTGCTGTTCCAGGCGAATAGAGATCAATTATTGTATTTGGAATGGCCGCTCACAAGCTTTTAAGACCCATGCACTACTCACCCAACTAGAAGGTAGAACAAAGACTCTAAAAACAGTATGAGGCTAACTGATGGGACAGACCCCGGAAACCATGACCCTTAACCTTTGAACTGAGAAAACTCATCCCAGGAGGTGTTTAGTTGTGCCGAAGTTATGCAGATGACACGATCTTGCTTGCTGAAAACAAAGAGGACTTGAAGCACTTACTGATGAAGATCAGCTACAGCCTTCAGTATGGATTATATTTCAACATAAAGAAAACAAAAATCCTCATAACTGGACCAGTAAGCAACATCATGATAAATGGAGAAAAGATTGAGGTTGTCAAGGATTGCATTTTACTTGGATCCACAATCAATACCCATGTAGGCAGCAGCCAAGAAGTCAAACGACATATTGCATTGGGCAAATCTGCTGCCAAAGACCTCTTGAAAGTGTTGAAAAGCAAAGATGTCACTTTAAGGACTAATGTGCACCTGACCCAAGCCATGGTGTTTTCAACTGCCTCATATACATGAGAAAACTGGACAAGGAATAAGAAAGACCAGAGAAGAACGGTTGCCTTTGAATTACGGGGTTGGTGAAGAGTATTGAATATACCGTGGCCTGCCAAAAGAATGAACCAATCTGTCTTTGAGGAAGTACAGTCAGAGTGCTCCAAAATCTCACATTCTTTGGACATGCTATCAGGAGCAATCAGTTCCTGAAGGCCATCATGCTTGGTAAAATGGAGGGTCCGCGAAAAAGAGAAGACC